TACCTTATCTACAGTGTGGTCATGCGCCAGCGCTCAGAGAGAGCTCTCCCTGCGCTCTAGGAAAACCACTCCACGAGGGGCGTAGCTCCCAGTGCTGGGAGCCTGTCTACACTGGCAAGTTACTGCGCTGAAACTTGCTGCGCTCAGCCTGAGAGTGGATCTACACTGCACGCTTCCGTCAGTAGAACTACATTCCTCGCTTGGGGGTGTGGGGAATCCTCACCCGTGAGCAACTCAATGATACTGACCTAGCTCTTGGGGAGGTGGAGTACCTACCCCAATGGGAGAGGCTCCCCTGTCGGAGTAGGTAGCGTCTCCACTAAACGCTCCAGCGGCGCATCTGCACTGGTGCAGCTGCAGTGCTGTAGGTGTAGATAAGCCCTGAGATCCTGCTACAGGGACAGGGCAATAAACTCTCTATTGCAGTACAAGTGCTCAGCTGTAGGTTTTCCTCTGATCACAAGGGGCAGAAATTGGCCTTTAGTGATCTGGCCATTTCTAGCCATGCTGGGGTTTTCAAAGCTGCCTAAGGGATCTGAATACTCAATTTTTGTTTAAATTGATGGGCACCAAGTGTGCAAACCCCCAAGGCAGCTGTGAAAGTCCCAGCCAGGGCTTTCTCGCCTGAAGTGCTGTGTGGGAATTTACAAGTATCTGAAGAACTGGGCAGGGGAAATGTCTGTTCCAACAATTTCCCAGTGAAGACAGAAGCAGGTAATTCAGAGAAACAGAAAGGAGCTGTGCTTTGTACTTGTGAAAGCTGGAACTGGGTGTTGTACCTTTAGAACTGTCACCTGTAAACCTTCTGCCTGTTGGAACTGGCAGCAACAAGGGCCAGGTGCAATATCTAGGGGTTTATCTTCAACAATGCAACACAAATCCAGCTTGAGCCCCCACCCAGTAACCTCGGACAATTATATACCACCCTCTGGGTGTCTCTAGGAGGCAATACTTTCCTTCTTGCAAGCACAAAGTCTCAGTGTAGAAAGAAACTTTTAATGAAAGGAGGGAAATAACCGAGCATTAATTTGGGAAAACACCACAAACAGGGTTCATAAACATAAACAATGAGCCAAAGACTCAGGCAGTGTCCTTTTCCCCTCAGGTTCTTAAGTCCAGCAACCAAATGTCCCTTTAACATGCCCATCCCTTCTCTGCACCCCACTCACAGTTGTTGTTCTGGGTCAGTGCAGACCCAGAGTCCAGAGGTGCATCTGCAGAGTTCACCTCCCACCCTGGGTGGAGAGGGGGTAAGCAGGCACATTAGTAGCTCTGCTGCCCAGGCAATTGCTTGCCACTCCTCTTCCCCAGCCACCGTGCTGGCCAATCACTGTGCCTCTTCACCAGCTACCCGGCCAGACCGTTGGCACTCTGCTTCTCTTCCCCAGCCACCCTGCTGGCCAATTGCTACCCCAATCCACAGGATGTTATCAGGTCGCCCCCACTTAACACAGCTGTCATGATTTCAGCGTTAGAGTGTGGGAGCCTCACTGGCTGGTGCACACTAGGAAGTCTCTTATATCAGAGACACTGTCCCAAAGCAGATCTAACACTTAGAGCTAGATATCAGTGATTTCAGCTCTGGGGTGTATAACAAAACTCTCAATTGAGTCCAAATTAACTTTGTTATTACACAGCAGAGCTAGAGGATCAAATATCTGGCTGGCTGGCTGGCCAACCTCACTAGGCTTTGGAGCCCATGTCCCCTGCCTAGCGAGTGCCATTTAGTTGAAGGTGAGTCCTTCAATCAGTTAGGCCAAGTACAGTTCTGCTGCCCTTGATTCACACACCAAGGATAGTATCAGAGAGGTAGCCGTGTTAGTCTGAATCTGTAAAAAGCAACAGAGCTGTGGCACCTTTAAGACTAACAGAAGTATTGGAGCATAAGCTTTCGTGGGTGAATGCCCACTTCATCAGACGCAAGTC